CTGTTCTATATAATCTCTAATTCCTTCTAAAAACTACCACTCGGATACGGATCAAACGGATTTTGATCACAATATATTATTATTATATATTATTATAATGAAATTTTTAATTTTTTTTTTAAAAAAATTTTTTATAAGTCAAATACAATAGAACCTTTATAAATTAATAAATTTGGAATTATACTGTTTTTTCAAAGTTTTATAAACTGAGAAGATTATTAAAACAGAGACAAATTATATATTAATTTTGAAAAATGAAACCAGAGAATTTTATTATAAATCATTAATTTATAGAAGTTATACTGTATGTATTAATATTCTATTTTATATATTAAATGTTTCTGCTATTTAACAATTTTAAGCCATTTAAAAATACTTTAGATTGGAATTTCAAAGTTTTCTTTAGTTAAAATTGCTTCCCTAATGCCATTTGAATCTTACATATTGTTGTAAAAATAGCATTGCAATTTATAAATTAAAAAATTTCAGAAAAAAAAATTATAGATTTCCATTAGTGATTTTAAAAAATTTTCGAATGAAATCATTTGTTTGTTGCAAAGAATTTTTTATATCTACTATCTCAAGTGAGTTCTCTGATCTATAGAAATTTATTTTTCGTTCCCTAATAATAGTATGATATCATATAAATATCAAGTTATAATAAAAAATAACAAGTTTTGAAAATCGATGATTGGAACATTATTATACCGGGTGGGTGAAAGGTTGCTGGACAGGGACCTTTTTTTGAACAGACTTTTTAATCAGTATAATTATTACTAAATTATAATTTTAGCGAAAGGTGAAAATGGTAATTAATTTATTATAATGATTAAAAAAAGGTCACTATTTATTTATTCGATAGTGATTAAAAAAAGGTCCCTGTCTAGTAACTTTTCACCCACCCTGTATAATAAGGATCTAATTTTTTGTAATAAATTTAATTATTAAATTGTCATCTTAAATTTAATGAATTAATCTGTTCGGCTGAAGTTTAAAAAACTGCGCATTGATGGTCTTAGCAATATAAATTTAGCGATTAATTCCTAATTCTTATTTCTGAATTTATACAATATACTGTATAATGGGTTTTCGGGGATGTAATTAAAACTCTTTCTAGCTAGATTTTATTTCGTTAACTGAATCCGAATACATCTATTTCTGAATCAGACCTTAAAGTCTAGCTTTGAATCTGGTCCAGGTAACAACTCTAGGTACGAGAAGTGATACGTACTAATTCGTGTCAATAGACTCGACCAAATATTAAACATTTCTCATGAATTAGACTGGCTCATCCAATGGACACAAAGTTTTATTAATGACTCACAAATATACTAAAGAATATGGTAAGTTAAATACAAATTGCGACAATATAGTATTTATTGCGTACAAATGTGTTATCAATAAAGATCATTCATTGGAAATGTGAATGAAATTGCTGCGGTTGACTATTGTTGTGAATGTTGTGGCTGATTATATTGTGGCTAATAGTTTCGATGAATCTCTTGCATACCACCAGGATTCTCTTTCTTTGAATCAAGATGAACCTTAAAGGAGAGGCCTGCTCCTAATGTGAAAGTTATCAGAAGGAACCAACCAGACACATTCGAAACGAGGTAAGATGCACACATGGCATTCATTTTGGAACCAGCATAAGATCTTAATTTGGAAAAAGCGGTGTAATAGTAACATGGATTGTCTTCCCCCTTGTAAGCCCAATATAGGTTCGCAAAGACTTTATTTAGAGGGAAATTTTTTAGTTAGTAGACATAATTTATCACCGATACAATAGAGTTAGACTGATCATACCTTCAGTGAACCATAATAAAAAGAAGATACTAAAGAAGATGATGCTTATGAATAAACACGAATTGAGTCGTAAATACCAACAAGAATTAAGTGTACTCACGCGTCAAATCCAACAAAGTAAATCTTATGCCTCTTTTCCCAAATAGATCCCTTGACGAATAAGGCCAGATATGCAGCTATGGTAAAAAGAAAATATGGAATTAATAAAAATATAGGATCTTCATAGATTATCTAATGAACGTAGACTTACCAACACCTAAAAATGTAATCAACATAACAACGTACACCCATATGACTGTACCTGCCTTTCCATACCTACTTCCGTTGAAATACTCATTAGAACCACTGCGTCCATAGTATTCATTATAAATGGAGTTGAAGCTGGCCACTTGGATGATTTCTGTTTGAAAAAATAATGGAATTAATTGTGATGCTCTTTTTAACTTTGTATACGTCATCATACTTTAGTCAAAGGTTTTCAATACGAACCTAATATAATTATCATAAAAACAACAAGTAGCTGGACACATTTTATGCCCATTAAAATTCGTTTAAAAAGAAGACTCATTTTTTTTTTTTTTTTTTTTACGAAAGGTTAGCTCGCAATTGATATGGGCAAAGAATAGAATGGAAAAGCGAATCCAAACGTAAAAAAAAAAAAAATTTCAGAACAATGGTATTTTAAAGATTTGTATTAAGAGAAAATCCGTTATCATGTAAAACAAGATTCGCGTTACTGTTCCTTTAGAAAATTCTATACACAAGCATAACATTTACCGAATTAAATAATATGAATCACCAAGCCAAAACAATACTGCACATTACGCAACTACTTATGGTATACACTGGCTATAAACAGTGTTAAAAATTCCGCACAAAATATTTGTGCACAGTTCTATACATGCACATTTCTGTATAATTTTCTTTTTATAGTAATGTAACGTGATATTTAATAATAATGATCATAATAATAGAAATAATAAGTCGATTTTTATAAAAATATACTGTATCTTTATTAAATATAGAATATGGCGAGTCAAAATAAACGTCCAGCTATCGAAGAGTTAGAATCTGAAACCTCAAATAATAAAAAATCTCGCAATTTAATAAGTCCTCTTCCTTCTTGGTTAAAAGATTGGCAATGGTTGGAATATCTTGAAGTTAACGGATCTCTATATATGTTCTGTAAATGGTGTAAAGCAGCAAAATATGACAATATATTTACTCGAGGAACTAATATTTTTAAAAGAGATATTGTTAAACGACATGATGAAAAAGATCAAAAACATCAAAAAGCCAAACAACAGTTTTTACATTTGTCAACTTACCAGTTAGATAATGAGGATATAAAAATTATTCAACAAATGAAATGTGTTTATTTTGTGGCAAAAAAACATCTTTCATTTAATATCTATTCTGATTTATATTGTTTAATTGCAAGTAACAACTATATTTCATCAGAACCTCAATCTCTTAAATTTGCTTTACAAGAAACTATTGAGCCAAAAAATTATGGTACTTATTTAAATCCAGCTGCAGCCCGAAATTTTGCAAAAGCAATCGTTCATACAATTGAAACAAGCCTTATTACTGAGATTAAATTATCGAAAAGTTGGAGCTTAATGATTGATGAAAGTACTTCGATAGATGAAAAGCATTTAGTAATTGCTTCACAACATATGGCATTTAATACACCTATTATTCGTTATATAGGCTTAATTAAATTAGAAGATTGTAAAGCAGAAAGTATTATGGAAAATTTGGAAAATTTTATAGCAGAAAAAAATTTAAATATCATTGATATTATGCATTTTGGCAGTGATGGTGCTTCTACGATGATTGGTATGTAAATATATTTATATTTTATTAAAATATTTAATTATAACTAATAATATATTTATTAATATTAGGCTCTAAAACTGGAATTGCTACACGATTCAAAAAAATAAATCCATTTTTAACATCAGTACATTGTATCGCACACCGTTTACATCTCGTAGGACAAGATGCAGCAAAAATGGTTCCATATTTTATAGAATATGAAGATATTTACAAATCTCTTTATAGTTATTTTAGTAGTTCTTATAAGCGAATGGTAAATTTAAAGATGATTCAAGAAATTAACGAAGATCCACAATTGAACTTATTGAATATTATCAATACTCGATGGCTTTCAATATCAAATGCTGTTAAAAATTTACACCAAATTTTGGATTCAATTAAAGATGCTTTGAATTATGATATAATAAATGGAAATAAGCAAGATAAAAAAAAAGCAGCAGATTTATTAGAACGTTTAGATATGGATTTTATAATAATTACTAAATTTCTTGCAGATTTAATATATATATTAATGAAATTAATTAATATTTTTCAACAAGATTATATTTCAATTTCGGATGTTCAATTTAATTTGGAAGCAACAATTTCAGCAATTACAACACAATTTATTGGATACGATAATATTGCACCAACTTATGGAATATTCTTACAAACTTATATAATCGAAAACTTTATATCTTTAGAACATCTTCCTTTATCAATAACTAGATTTGCTATAGCAATAATTCAAAATCTTAGATCTCGCTTTCCAAATACAACTTTATATAATGCGATGAAAATATTTGAACCAAATTTATTACCTTTAGATAATTTGTCAACTTATGAAGATATAGAGATTGAAATATTAGCTGATTTTTATGGTAATGATAAAGAAACGGAAGATGAAATGAAAATTTTAGCATTTATTAATAAGCAAGAATTAAAGCAAGAATAGGAATTAGTAAAAGAAATGATGAAGACTATTCATAATTATAGTAGCATAGATGGATGGAAATTTATTTTTTCAACGAAACCATATTTTTGTAAAGAATTTCCAAATATTTTTTTACTAATTAAGTTTATTCTTATTATACCTTTATCTAATGCTTATATAGAACGTATTTTTTCTCAACACAAATTAGTTAAAAACAAAATACGAAATCGTATGAATGTAGATACTCTTAATATGTTATTAATGATTCATGAAAATGCACCCGATAATATTGATATTTTTGATTGGAAATCGACATATTATTTTTGGAAAGAACAAGCACGCTAAATAGTTATTTTTAGATAGTTTTTTATTATATTTAATAAAAATATTTTGTGCAAAATACTGTGCAATTGTGCAATTTGTGCGTAAAATATTTGCACATATATTATAAGTTTTGTGCAAAAAATAATACACGCACAACGAATTTTTAACACTGGCTATAAATGCTGACACCAATTTTGTGAAACCAAATCTCCATGGTGGGAAGAAAGTCTAGGAGTAGGAAAAAAAACATCTTTGATATTTTGGTCAATTATTTTATTAAAAAAAATTTTTTTAACTGCGTAATTTCTTGTCATATAATCGACAATATCTTTTCATAATATAAAAAATAGGGACCTCCCTTTCAAAGTAGAGTTTAAGTTACTATTTTGGGGTGCGGAAAAATGCTCCCCGTGTAGCATCCTTACCGCACTCGTGCAGCGACTGTGCAGCACCTGTGCAGGTGTGCTTTCGGGTGAAATTTCCGAATTACGCTCATCTTATATATATCACGTGACGGAAGATGGTAATCGCCGAGAAATTTTAAATAAATCTCGCGGAACCATTGTTACTCTAACAGTTTATTAAATAGAAAATTTTAATAATTAAAAAAATTTTGGCAATTTATTTAAAAAATATTATTAAATAAATAATCATAAAATAAATTACATTTTTATTAAGCAAAAATTTAGTTGAATTTATATTATACCAACATTAGTTCCGCGAGATTTAATTAAAAATTTCTCGCGTTTTCGCGAAATTTGTAAAATTCGTTGCGTCTCGATCACTTAGTTGATCATGTGACCATATATAATTCGGAAATTTTACTCGAAAGCCCACCTGCACAGGGGCTGCACGAGAGACGCACGGGAGCATTTTTCTGCACCCAAAATAGTAAACACTGCTCCCTTTCAGGCTAATTTCCCAAATGCTATTAATACATCTTATTGTTTGAATCTCTGTATCATGTATCACAATGCGCTAATTCATATTATGGCTAATTTTGGAATAATAAACTGTACCCACACGTATTATTATAGCATTAGTAATAAAAGTAACACGGTTGGTAAACAATGCAATATTAATAATTAAATCTCTATTTGCTATTTATTTTACTGATTGTTATTTTTTAATTATAGTAAG